AAATCATGAAACAAAAGCAGTTTGTGTTTGGTCGTCAAAGTAACCACAAAGGTATGTCGCTACATTTTAAGTAGAATACCGTGTTCCTCTAGAGGATCGGTAACGATAGTCGTATTTAGTTACTTTTTGAGCGAGTAGCGGTATTTAGTTACTTTTTGGGGTAATGTGTACATAGCTCAGTGAAGTATATCAACGTCTAGGGAGTTCTCACGCCACATAACTTGTTTCAGTTTACATGTGCGGGATCAATATCCCGCACATGTAAACCATAAGAGATATATATAACATACCTAATATTTTAAAGCGGTAGTGTTATGGGTCAACGTCGTGAAATCAAGGTCACTTAACACCCGTGGATGTAGTGCTCGTAACTGAAGCGATGGTGGTTGAAGCTATGGTGGCTGAAGCGCTCGTGGCTGAAGCCATAGCGGCTGAAACGTATGTGGCTGAAGCGGCGGTGACTGAGGCGCCTGTGGCGCAAGCGCCCTTGGCTAAAGCGCCGGTCGCGTAAGCTGGTAACCGTCGGCTGAGTAAGCTCCGGCCGTGTAAGCTCCGTTCGCGTTAGGTCCGGTTGCGTAAGCTACTAAGCACCGGCCGTGTAAACGCCGGTTCTGTAAGATCTGTTCGCGTAAGCGCCGGTTGTGTAAGCTCCGAGGCGCCGGTAGCTTAAGCTGACGTTACGTGAAGTCCTTGACATCGTCCTCGACGTCGTCCCAAAGGTCGTCCATGAAATCATCTTAGGGGTTGTCCTAGAGGTAGTCCGAGACGTCATTCTAAATATCGTCCTCGAGGTCGTCCTAGACGTTGGGTTACTTTAGTTGCTCGGTGTAACGTGATGTTTGATCCCCATTGGACTTGAATTAGTGATTCTTCCCTGTCTTTTCCTTCACTCCTTTTTGACAAACTGACATTGGAGGGTTTTATGATTCAGTTAACCCTCTCGACTTGCCCGTTAGCTTGGGACGTGCAGTTGGCATTTTTGTAGGCGAGCGACTTTGGTAGACTAACCTCTCATTCACACTTCAAGCGGATCCGCGTTCGCGAAGAGGTTGCTAACGCGGTTGTATAAAGATCCAGTACAGTGTCACGAGCACTTGATGTCATCGAGTGCGCGTGGAATTGTACTGGATCTTTATACAACTGCGTTTGCAACCGCTTTGCGAACGCGGATCCACTTCCAGTGTGAATGAGCGGTTACAATGGTGCTCCAACTGTCGGCTGGTAAAAGCGGTTCCCTGGTCGGTTACCAGTCATCGTGGAGCGCTAAAAACGCTGACGAGGTCCCTTAAAAAGCTCTTTGCGTAGCCTGACAAGGTGCTTCTCATGGCTCGAATGACAACAAACTTCGTGAAACCATCCACTGTCGTTTTTCATTGGCGCTGTGAACGAACGGGCCTAAGGAGTCCTTATGAACTGCGTCAAAGAGCACGGCGCCTTTTTAAATGCTGTGTCGCTTTCCTTGCTTTTTTCCGGGGGGAACCGTCCGTATAAACCCTCCAGACAGCACGCAATGTGTCGCTTGACCTAGTGACGCATTCTGGGACGCCAATACTTCTTCGTGATTAGTGCCATGGCATTCTCAACAGCAAAGTAACCGACATCATCGTGGCATCGTGGTACTACATGCCAACGTGCTCCTCGTGTCACAACCAAAAGCAGACGCTCTTCTCCGTCGTCATAGACCCTCTTGAAAATATTGCCCGCTGCTAGCATACACTCGTTCTTGAGACGCTGCGAAGACCCCTATCAGCAGTCTTTGATTCTATGTAACGTTGGATCGGTCTTTTAGGCCAACACCAACCAGTCATTGCCAGAGAGCTCTGTAGCGAAAACGCTGACGCCCGTGGCGACATCCATTTCTTCGGGGTCCTATGCAGGGGCCCTTATGAGCGCGTCGACGTGGTTCATCTTGTTTCCTGGTCGATGTTCCACGCCAAACGTATAGTTCTGCACCTTCAGATACGACCTTCCTATGCGTGGCATAAAAACTTGCTTAGACAGCGTGGTTCGCAGTAAGTGGCAATCCGTTACGAGCGTTAACTCGATCCCGTACAAGCACGGCCGAAGTTTCTTAACCGTGCAAACAACGAATAACGCCTTGAGCTCGTAAGAGTGGTAGCGGTCTTCTCGCGTCGTGCGTCTGCTGACATGCATGACCGGATGCATCAGACTGTCTACTTGTTCTTGCAACAGTACGCCTCCGATACCGAACGTGGATGCGTCTGTGTGTGCCTCTGTTTTAGCACCGTGTGCGTAGAGTTCCAGTGTGGGCTTGCTCATTAGACTGCTTCGCAGCTTTTGGAATGCGGCTCCTTGATCCGGCGTCCTGTGTCATTCTTCTTCCTTAGAAAGTAACTTGGTGAGTTGTTTCGCTATCGTGGCGAATCCGGTCACAAATCGTCGAAAATAGCTACAAATGCCGAGAAATCCGTGCAGGTCATGGGTGTTTGTTGACGTGGTCAGGGTTGATGGACGAAGTCAAAATCTCATACCCCAGATAGTTTATCTTTTCGTGGAAAGAAGAACACTTCTTCAAGCGCAGCGTGAGGCCAGCATCTCTTAATGCCTCAGGAACTTCGCGTAGAACGACCAACCCTTCTTCAAACGTAGTCGATGGAATCATCAGGCCGTTCATATAGGCCATGACCTTTGTGTTCTTGAGCGGGCCGAACGCTGTATTTATTACGTGCTGAAACACGATTGCTGCGTTGACGAGGCCGAAAGGCATGCGAGTCAATTCCTAGTGTCGATCCGGAGTAATGAAGCCTTTCTTCTCTTGGCTGTCCTCGGAGATGGGCACCTGATAATACCCAGATACAAGATCCAGGCTAGTGAATAACTATTCGTCGTGAAGCCTGCCGAGAGGGTCATCAATCAGAGGAAGTGGATACCTGTTTTTCTTGGTGATTTTGTTGAGAGCGCGAAAGCCGATACATGGTCGCCTCTCACCGTTCTTTTTTGTGACCAGTAATATGGGACTCACGTAGTCAGAAGTAGAGTCCATTACATTTCCAGTCTTTTAGAGTTCTTCGATCATTGCTTGAACAGTCTGTCTCTCAGGGTACGCTATACGGTATGGGCGGTACGCCATGAGAGTGTCTGCTGTTAAAACTATTTTCATTTTTGTTGCCTTCGTGCACCCCAATTCCGATAGGGATGTGGCGAAACACTCGAGACAGTCATTAATTGTGGTGACGAGTGTTTTTTTTTTTTTTTTTTTTTGGGGGGGGGGGGGGGGAGTCAGAAACCGATGGACCGACATCTAGGTCATATCTTGCCATTACGGATCTCGGATTTCTTTGGCTGCTGTTTACGTACGCGTCGAGGTTGATGTTTGTGTCTTCTTCCGTGCACCATGCTTATCGAGCTATCTGTTCGTTTTTAGCGACGATGAGCGGCGTGACAGATATGTTAGTTACGCAAATGTAGAGTTCTCCCAGTTCGTCTTTTCCCAAAACAAATGTGGCGACGTAATTCCCACGCGATTTGTGGATACTGCAATCAATGAAGATGTCTCGGTGAGTCTTTCGTGTCTCTTCTCTGGAGCGGAGCGCAATATTTCCGAGTTTGCTTGGAGGGATTACGACCGCTTCCTTCACCCAGGCGCTTACGCTTCCTGGAGCCAAGACCGGTGTATTAAGACTGGCCAAAATCCCGTCCTCATCATCAGATGTGTCACGCTCTTCGATAATGCGCTGGGTGTTCATGCGACGTACCACAGCAACATGCGGCCGTTCAGTAAAAGGCTGTCCAACAAGCAGCGGGACAACCTGCACTGAGCCGTGCACCACACAAACCTAGACATTGTCCTTGGCTTTGTCGACCGTCAATGTACCTTGGAAACTGCCTAAAGGCGCCGGTCGACCTTGTTGGGTTAGAACGGCTGCTTGCTTGTCGCGCGTGTCTGTGCAGTTTCTTTTTGGAGAGCAGTCTTTCTTCTCGAGACTAGATTTCCCACATTTGGTACATCTTGATTTTCGCTCAGGTTTTGCACATACAGTTAAGAAGTGTCCGTATGTCGAGCATTTAAAACAAAGTGGCAGGCCTCTTTCGTTGAATCTTTTTGTTGGAGTCCTGGTCGTCGGCTCGTTGTTGTCAAAACCGTGATTCAGGCGTTGAACAGTCGGCGGTTGATGGAGGGTTTTGGCACGGGTCTGTTTGATCACATCGACTCCTTCATAAAGTCGCTTTATGCACCCAGGCAGCTCGTCTGGGGGGACGTAATCTCGCACGCTCAGAGACCGCACTAAATCTTCGTCTTCTAGTCCAGGGATCAGGTACACGATGCACGTCCCGTCATCCCGGTTGCAGCGCGGTGGTTTCGCCAGCTTGTCATAAAAGAACGCTTCGATTTTCTCGTGGCGCCCTATTTTTTTTTTCTTCATGCCCCTGAAGACGTGTTGAAAGCAAGATGCCGACGGAACGGCCTTTTCATCTCCACTTGCCACTCGTCCCAGGTTCTTTGAACAAAGGTCAGACGGTCATACCATGTTTTTGCGACGCCGTGAAGCTTAGTGAGAGCAAAGCAGGTCGTTTGTTGATCACTCCACTCATAGGCCGCAGCTAGATTGTCAACCTTGTTGAGCCACGCTTCCACCGTAGGTGGGGTGTTCGATCATGAATCAGATACTGGCGCCAACTGGGCGCTCGTCGTAGTCAGCTGTCCGTCCATGACGCTCGAAGAATCTGTTGGTAGGTGACGTTGTAGTGACTGCGTATCTTGGAAAAGTTGTGACTCCCCTTGCAAGGGCCCGTGTACCGCAATTTGTATAACGGCCTCCATGAGTACTTGAAAGTCAAAGACTCCGGACATTGCACCGTCGGGAGCCACGTCGTGGTTGTTCAACGTTGCGGTGTCCCTGGCCTTCGTTGTCAAATTGTCGTGTTGGCGATTGTCGTGGTCGGAATGCTCGTCGCACACCTCCGCACGGCTAAACATATTTGTGGTCGTCCGATCACCCTGTCGTTTAGTCCCCTGCCCTTGTCCTCCAGTCGTTAGCTTACGTCTTCTCGACACTGTGATTTTCGTGGCCGAAGTTCTTGTAGAGGATGTCGGGCGAAGTGAGCGTTCGCGGACCGCTACTTAGGTTGTAGGCTTCAATTCGAACGGCCTCTCAAGTCGCGGCCTTTTGATCCGACTTATGAGCTTTTCTGAAGTCAACCAGAAGTTTCGTTTTCTTCTTTCCTAAAAAGCAAAAAAAAACAAAAAAAAAACAATCGGTTTATTAATACAATACCCGCCCATTACCGAGAGGGGTACCTACCTGCAATACTCGTGCATCTCAAGTCTCCTTCTTTTTCTTCTCTGAGTCCAAACGCACGTCACACGCTGATGATACTCCATCGCGTGGACCGGTTACGACATGCGTGTGCAGTTCTCGCGCAATCGTGGCGACGGCTCCTGTCGTTGACAACACAGTTGGGACGGCTAAGTATGGATAGTCTCTACACTTCACATATTAATATATTTAATAATAATACTTTATTATCCTGTGTCTCAGAATGTTCGAAGTCTTGATATGAGGCACGTTCGTGTGTATACAACGTGCACAACACAATACCGGAAAACGATGGGGTTATGATCAGTAATTGAAATTAAAACATACCCTCAACAAAAGAAGGAACTTTGAATACCTCTAGTCATCAGGTCGGCAATAATTTCTATGTTTGTAATAAAGGGGAGTTTCCAAGGTTTTCTAGTTTACTGCACGGGCACTCTTTGTTTATAACTGTCAGTTTTGTCGAACGCCTTCTTACTATTTTATATTGATGCAGAATGCAACCCTTCCGTTCATGTGCATTTACATTCAAAACTATCAAGGCGCCTATGTGAATGATTACAATCGCTAAAATTAGTGAAATGCGGTCACCAAAGGACGACTGATGCAAGCTTTCTAAACACTGGGTAAATCAAGTGTACCGAAACCCCGGTGACATTCTGCAAACTCCGCCATCTGCTCGAATTGAGCTCTTGAAAATGCATCATACCATGAGAATTTGTGGGCCATATCAAATATTATAAAGTGGAAACCTCATATTCAAATGACAGCTGAACTTCATTATAAAACTCGGTTACAAAAGTGACTGAATACTTGTCCCTCCCCCCCCCCCCCCCCCCCCCCCAAACTGTTCAACACCCAGCATGACATGGTGTGATCCCGAAGACAGCTGAGTACTCGATAAGAAATTGCGTCATCAGGGCATACACAACGAGACGTCACTCCAATCACCTAATATACGCCTCTAGAATACTGACCTTTTTCGGTTAAAACAGAATTTAAAAAATCGGCTTACGTTTAGCCGTTTTTTATTGGTTAAAGCTGAAAACGAAGAATCCTCCTTATACTGCATGGAATGCAGCATTTGGGAATTGATCGTTATAATTTGATTAGAAGATATTAAACTGTCGTTCCTGAAAGTTAAGAATATATTTTTTTTTATATATTGATGCCACTTGAGCGGACATTACGTAACTTCAGTTGACCTGACATCACGGTACCTAGTGACGTGTCTTCACGGTGTCGAGCTGCGTCACGGAATACCATGACGCGGACCACGTGGTCACGCGACGTGACCTGAAGGGGTCAAGTTGTGGTGACATGTGACCTTAATTGAAATATATACATAAATTCGATTTTTTTCCTATACATAGCGGGGCATTGCTGCGGTACAGGGTAAAAAATAAAAAAAATAAAAAAACTGGAAATTATTTGTTTTCGTTTTTGATGTCCACTCCCCGTTTCCTTATGTTTGTTTCTTTGTTTACATTTTGAGTGTGCCTTTTCGTTTCTGCCTTATTTCCTGTTTTGCGTTCGGTCGTTTCCCCTTCAAGTTTGCCGTCGGTTCAACTTTGAGCTGGGGTTTGCCCGTTCCTATTCCGGTAAAATATGTCTCCGACACGTGTTTCTCTTTTTTAAGATTGAAAAATGTAATTGAGATAACGAGTACTAAGATACGATGGAATCTAATAAAGATTAAGTACCAAATATTTACTCAGTTAGATGTATTGGCAAAATCAAAAAATTTCTTTCAAAGTAATTGAAACAGAATCTTCAGTACAATATAAGAGATCGTCCGAAGTGTGCATTTCCGATGTACTTCGGATATCAAATATTTTGGCGGCTGACATAATCTAAATACACAAGGCAGTAAATGCATCTCAGCCCAACTAGATACTTCTGAGCAGTTTTTGAATTCACTAAATCCTGCATTTAGTGGGGAAGTGCAAATCCACAGACCACCAGCATTAAAAGGCACTCAAGTGTTTTTTTGGGTTTCTTCTTTTGATGATGACAACTGAATCTAGACGACCTATGTATCCCTAAAAACCAAAAAATTATAGTCCTACGGGGATTATTTCTTTAATAAAAATTTAATTAGAGGCCGCCAAACCTCCGGATCCAGCCGAAAACGAAACCACTCTCACTGGTCACCGCTCGCATATCAAAACGATCTCGGGCCAATGGCCTTGAACAACGTTCCGTCGCGCAGCGATCCCGAGGTAGCCGCACCGGCCGAGCTTTTTTGTCATTCGAGCTTCGATCATGGCGGAGTTTTCTACGCTCGAGGACCTGACGCCGTTAGAGGTTAAAATTCTTCCGCCGACAGCCGACCTGGGGATGATTTCCTATGACGCCACTCTGACGAGCGATGTGGACGATAGCAGTGCTTCGGAGTTGTGTTCGGGTTCCGAGGACGACGAAACGTAGACCTTTTTGGGCGTTCTTCGATTTGCGGTTGAGGCAAGTCGTAACCAAACAAATGTTTGGCATCGCAGCGTAACCTGTGGTACGTGATGTCAAACGATGTCGCCACGTTGACTTTCGCCTCGGGAAAACGGGGAAGGCTGGTTCAGACAAGTGCAACGAGCTTACCTACGACTGGGTCCGTTGCAACCGGAGCGACCGACCACTCTGCGCCGCGCGTACACACACCTGCAACCACTGCAACAAGCGCATAGCGTGTCGTCAGCACGGCGACCGCTTCTACGCCGCCGTGAGCTGTTTGAGCGGCGCCTCTAAAAAGGGGACGCACTCAATGCCGTAACAGAATATAGACAGACAGTTTTCTACAGCCTAAAGCTTTATTAACTTTTTTTCATGATAGGCTTGCAGGGTACAGTGGATGAAAAAAAGAAAAGAAAAAGATGCAGTCCGCCGTCTTGGACGATCACGACTCTAATACACGACTTTGCCAATAGTACAAATGTCGCCACACGCCTTTTATACGATTATAAACGACGATGTAATCTTAGCAGCGATATAGCAACGTAGAAATATGATTTCGTGATCAGATAGACGTTGCGAGCGCTCAGGATTGCTAACACTAATCACTTTTCTCCGGTGATGAAAACGCGTGAAAATTCGCATCCTTTATACGGTAGGCGCCAGTAATAGCTTGAACTTGAGCACACGCGTGAAATGCGCCAAATAAGAAATCCGGGCGATGTTCAAGGACACAAATGCTTAGAAAGCACCACTGTAGTGGCGCTTTCTAAGCATTTGTGTCCTCGGCAGGATACAACGGCAGGGCGTTTCTGCTGTCTTGAGAGTGCCGCTACGACATCGCCGCACGAGTAGGTGGATCTTCCCTTCTAGTACGTGCTGGGTTGTCATAGCAACACAGAAAATTCACAGTAAAGGATAGCGCTTTTACGCGGATGAACGGGCTTGGAGACACAAACGCACTTCCCAAAAACCCGGAGAGAAAGAGTTCATGATACGTGCGGTTCCGCGCATCCCGAGGGAAGGGGAAATTCACCCCCCGCGGAGGAAGGCAAGGAGAAAACGTAGTCCCTTGTTTGTGAAACGATAATTGCAGTATAGCGTATTCTAAACTAGAACTATTTTACGTCTTGTGAATTTATTATGCACAACATATCTAAATGAACTGAAAATTGTTTCTTTAGCGAAACTTTACAAAGGCCGCCAAATTTTCGAACATACGATAATTTTATTGGTCGGCGCAGGAACAGAAAAGAGTCCGCACCTATTTTATTCCTGCGTGATCAATAGGCGGATCTGCATTCTAAAACTGAAGATACTCATTCACTGACACTTCCTTAACGCCATCGCACCAAAAAGTAGCTTCCCCAAGAATCACTCGAGTGCCCCTTTCAGATATCCTGCGAGGCTGCAACGTGGTATTTGACCGTTTCTCGAATGAGCAGCTGAAAAATCACTGGCTTTTCTTTCACTTTGTCGTTTCATGTGGTAAAAAAAAAAGCGTACCACATACACGCGTTTTTTGCTTAAGCGGGCGAGTGACTTTATATATATATACATTTTTTTAAAAAAATATACCTTACAAAATCTGTATGGACACTGAAAATGTTCTACAGAGCAGCACCCTTAGGAAGAACGTAAGGCATCTATAAGCAAACGGCGACTACTGTTGCCTTCCTGAAGTCATTCTTTGGCCGCCCTGTGAACTGTTGGCCAACAAACGTTTTATGGACGTCCCATTCTAGTGACCACGAGTGTAAAAAGGGTGCTATACAATTCATTATTCTATTCCCATTTATGCTATTGTAACTTGGTGTGGGGCAATACATCCATGTCAAATTTAAATGCGATACATTTACTCCAGAAAAAGGTCGTAAGAATAATTGCAAACGTTCCTTACATACATCCAACACAACCATTGTTTAAAATTTACAAAATTCTTAACAGACATCAAATGCATGATTATCGACTGACACTCTCGTATAAGTATGCGGAACATGGACGTAACGATATAATTTTTGAACTCGCTGATTTAAAAGAAAACAAGTTACTATTACTCATCTAGACATCGCCAGCCTTGGCAGATTCCCAAATGCAGAACCAATTATGGTAAGCAGGAAATGAGCTACACGTTACCTACGTTATTAAATGATTATTTTATTCGGAATATAGATGTTATTCAGCTTTCGAAGAATAATATCCTCGAATTGTTTTTTTCTTAAATCTTGATCGTACATGTGTTACTTATGATCATATATAAATGCACAAAAAATGAAATGTTCATTGTAAATACATTTATGTGTCGTGTCGCAGCTGCTGAATGGGGGGTCCGGAGCTTCGTCAAGCTGCGTTCATGCAGCTTTTTCTCTGG